AAAAGTCACAGGGAAGTTACGTCATGTCGGTGGGAATGTGACTGAAGTGAAGATGCCAAGTCAGGACCAGTAATATTGCAGATTATTCTTTTTTTATCAAGAAACACTAAACAAATAGCAGAAACAACATACGAGATGTGGCAGCAATACTCAATGTATGGACGAATGGTAGAAATATGTAAAATAGTTTTAGGCGAGAATAATTGTCTAGCACTGACCACAGACCTAGCAACTAATTCAATATATTTTTTCCGCATCATGTTAGCGAGAAACTTTAGCCCATGAAGGCGCAATGAGTCACTTCCCTGGATGATAGCATCAACCATGCCACAAAAACGTTCCTGCAGACCATTAAATGTAAAAAGTCTCGCTTTGGGGGTGTTAAAATTAACAAGACATACCCTGCCCCAATTAACAGCAAATTGTAGGTCATTTTTTAGATCGGCTGACAATTTGGCCATTTCAAACAGATCAGACTTACCATTAAGACAAGAGTAAATAGTTCTGTTATGGTTGATGGCAACTGAATCATAGACGCAAATTCTTGGTTTCCCGGTAAAGTTTGAGTATAAATTTCAGTAAGCGCCTTCAGAGCGTTCTCAATTCCCATAATTCAAAGAAGTTTCTGTATGTTGATAAGGTTATCTCTACAGGTGTACATTGTATTTCTTTGGTGGCTTTCGACGATCGCGTCTTTGCATGTTAGTTCTCCAACTTTAAGAAACCATTACAAATTTTAGCGGTCGTTTATATCAAACGAAAGCATCTCACTATCAATAAACACATGCTTCAATCCAGGCACTCAAGTGTTAAAATGTTTTTGAACAGTAATGTTATGTTTGCCACATGACGGAAATAGCTATTCCACAGCGAATAGTATGTGAAACTAGGTTTATTTCAAACTTATGACTTTTAACAACATAAACGTTATCTGTTTATATTTCTGAAATGAAGTATTTTAATTATTTACACTATTTACTTTACGGCCTTCTTCAGGTGATTGAAAATAAAGGGTTCACTTCGAAATTCCAATCACCTGAAGAAGGCCGGAGCATACAACGGCCGAAACGTCGTGTATATGTCAACGAAGATGAGGACAACAGTCCGAACAATGTAAATAATAAACGTTATCCTGATTATTTTTGATTTTCTATCTTTTTCGTTAAAAATAACCAACAGTGGTCAAAAGTTGTTGAAACATAACAAAAATTTCCTTTACAAGTTTACACCTGACACAAACCGACATTTCAACATCCGGGGAGACTCACGCAAAATATCACTTCCATTTAAAAGAATATGTATAAACGAAGGATTGCTGCCTAAATATATAATGTTTAAAACGCATAATAACTAATCCTCCTTCCCTTCGTATTCCATTGGTAAAGAAGGTTCCACTCAGTTTCTGCCACAGAAGTGCTGCATTGTGGAATGGACTCCCGAGAGAATTATTCCCCGATCACTACAATCTTAAACACTTCAAGTCTAGAGTCAACCTCTATCTATCCTACATATCATCATAATATGTATTCTTGATTGTCACCAAAATTCCGCCCTTACAAGAACCTCATTTAGTAAAACTTGAGTGGCTCTTGGGCCTTGTATTGGGTGAACAGTAATTTAAAAAAAAATGCGTTTACGTGTTCGTATGCGAGTGCCTTCAAACAATATGTGTATCTTTCAGTGAACCTACGTCTCAACCGAATGTGACACAAGGTCAGTTTAAGGTGGGTTTAACGGCAATACCGGGGAAAAATTGATCAAGCCTTCGCGGCACTTCCTAATTTGGGGACGCCTCTGGCGCCTGGTAGTGACTCCAGGACCCACCCGAAGAAGTACTGCTTATGGGGGATGAACACCCACCACCACCACCAGAGCCTTGAGCTTAGTATCATTTTGAAACTTCCCCGGCTATTATGGGATATATTACCTAATGGATCAGAGACGTAAACTAGTACGTACAGTTCAGAAAAATTCTCGGCCCGACCAAGAAGATATACTTTTTTTTTAATTTTGATATTAGGTCGTTTATTCAGATGTGGAGGAGTGGAAAAAAGTCGAGAACTTTTCAACAAGCGCTTCTAGAACGGAAAGAGCGCCAGCACTTGCAACTATAGAAAGCAATCAAAAGATGAAGTATTCCACAGAGAAGAGATCAAAAGCAGTCATATAGTTAATAGATCTGATAGTCTTCTACTAAAGCCATGTTAATCAGGGACATGTTTTGAAAGTAAATATGAAATTCTCATTAAGCCAAAAACAGAGGCGTTGTTATATATGTAAATTGTCATAATTTCCATAATACCAAAATAGAATATTTCCGCTAAGAACTTTTCATAAGATCAAACAAAGAATATTAATAAAAATCATAATTACGTTGTAGATCATTTGTCTCATTCGTTGTCAGGGTTTTTCTTTACTTTGCACTAGGATTGACCATTAAATACCGTTCAATTTGACATGAATGATTTTATTCAAAGGACATTGATCATAAGATGATTTTAAAACCACAACAGCAACATTCATATCAACATTAATAGGTGTGCCTTGATCTCGTCAGCAAATTCAGCTCATAAATCATTACTGCTGTACTTAGTTCGACATTTAGGGTACGAGATTGGAAAATATCCAGACCGCTACATTTGGTAATGGATCAAGAGGCACAAAATATTATAATATTAATGGCTGGCTTCTGGTTTCCCGTTACAACTGTCTGTAAGGGTGACTAGCTAATCTAATTTGCTGGCACCCCTCTGGTATATTTGTTTCTTCAACAGCGACAGATTATTGCTGATCAGACCTTAGGTATAGTTTCTGACTAGATCAGTAGCTGAACAGCGCTAGCACACTCGAAGCCTCGGTCACGATGACTTTGCGCTAGCACAATGCTCAGACGCCTTCTAAACAGGTACTTCTATTCAATCTCACAAGTTAGGTCACCCTGTGGTACGCATTTTAGTTACAGCTCAACAGCGTCGCTTGCTGGGATCGTCTCAGCAGTCCGATATCACCAAGAAGTCACATCCTAGATAAATTAATCCTGGTGATATTCGAACCCGGGTCGCATAGTCGTCCACACGCCCATAAGCACATAAGCATGTTGTAGTAAGTGATTTCCGGCAGGCAATACCAGATAATTTTTAAAAAACTTTTAATGTCAATCTTTGTTCGGAGAGAAGTTGATCTTTGATCAATATGTTCTGAACTCACCCTAAGAGATACCAACGTAGATTTTGTCCCCCTAGGTATACTCAAGAGCTAGGTATATCAGAGGCTTGAACTGGTGACCTCATAGCCACCAGGCGCAGTTTCATTGATTGTTTTCCTCAACAAGTAAAGAGGTAAACGTCCCAGATGAGCTTACAGATGAGCACACGTGAAGCGACCGGATGAAAGTAAGTCATCTAAGCATCCAACCCAAAGGGAAAAGTTGGAGAATGTCTTACATTGAAAAAAAAAACCCAAAGTCATACGTTATCACTCCAATGACTCTAATTGATGAAATGTGGAGGTAAATAAACATTTATTTTACCTATGAGGGATTTAATCTCCTGTTCTCATTAGTCAATACAACGATAACTTTATAGCATAAGTAGAAAAAAAAACATGGAAGATAAATACTTCTGAGTTGTTCCATAATGAATTCCTGATGAGCAGTTTCTGACAATAGATTTAATAAGTTTTGGATTCATTTATTTGAACATGCAATAATAGAATTATAATTTGCCAAAAATCTCGCACAACACCCTCTCTGACAATAGATTAAACAAAACTTTGGATTCATTTATTTGAACATGCAGTCATAGAATTATAATTTGCCGAAGGTCTTGAACAACACCCTCTCTGACAATAGATTAAACAAAACTTTGGATTCATTTATTTAACATGCAGTAATAGAATTATAATTTGCCAGTCTCGCCCAAACTCCTATTCTCTGTCAAATATTACAGCCTGCCAGTTACTTGAGACAAGTTCAGGGAGAAGTCGGTTCATGCTTTTCCGAAGTATCTCAGTGCACAGTTAACATAAACTTAAGATGGAATTAGTCCTCGAGACGCCGATAAACATTGTAATGATAGTAGTGCGTAAAAATATCACAAAGGGGCTGTAGATGAAAAAGAATCTGCCAGTAGAAGCGGGAACTAGTGCAAGTTTCTCCCAGACGGAGCTGGAGATGACGTGGAGTTAATGTTGCTAATGGGAGAAGGAGTTATGGGCGTATTGAAGCTGCAGTACAAAAGATGAAGGTGCCGCTTTGTGGTAGATAAATACTGGTTCTGCTTTTTTAATTTTACCAGCATTAGTGAAAGGGAGTTGGGGATAGTAAAACTGACGGTGGAATGATAAAGAAATCCGACCCCGTGTAAAGAGGGATAGGTTCATATGCATGTGTACATCTATGCAATATGCCCCAGTACTGGCAGGTGCAGGATGTTTTGAACGAACGTCTCCTTGTCGCCCAGCAGGTGACAAAGAGATGCCTGCTTACCAAAAAAAAATTATATATAATTTTATATATATATATATATATATATATATATATATATATAAGCGACTAGTTCTTTTAATATATGTACCTATGCCTGGTGAATGAAGTTTTTTTTTACCATTTTACTCAAAGCAAGGCAATAAAGCAACTACGACGCAGGATGTTACTGAGTACGGGAAAATATGAGAAAATATTGATTGGTTGATTTGTTTTTGACTGCTTATCAACCTTTTCCATGTTATTTTAAACCGATGTATATTTTTAGATTGTAAGATTGTAAGAATATTTTGCAGGTAATAATTATTTTTCTGATACAGTCTTACTATTTAACTCATAGTTGGGGGAAGAGGTGTATTCATACCTTTCTCAAGAGCATTTGCTCGTAAGTGAATATAATGAACCTGACTGGAAATGGAACTCGAACTCGAACTCAGCCCTCCGGTTTCACATTCCAAGCATTTATCCATTACACCATCCATATACCATAGATGGGTAATCGCTGGGGAATACCATGCTTACAGCACCTGGTATTCCCCAGCGATCACCCATCTAGGTACTGACCAGGGTCAACGTTGCTTAACTTCGGTGATAGTACGAGAACCGGTGTTTCAACGTATTATGGCCGTACGCCAAGAAAATATTATTGAGGAGAGAAAATAATAAAAGAACAAAAACATAACGATGCAAAGTTGACAGAAAAGCAAGTAGCCGGAAGAAAGTTCTGCAATCACTAAGTGCGAGGGAAGAAACTGTTAGCATAGAACTTGCGGTTACATCTAACCATTTAAACTGTAAAATCATGAGACCTTATCGCCAATCTAATAGTACACTTATATTCATAAAGTCTAAACACCAAAGAAGAAAGCCCATTAAAAAAATACTATGAAAATATTGATAGAAGTGGCACAAGGAAGCTGCATTACGTTGGTGGGGAGAGTGACTGGAACCGATATGCCAGGATAGGACCAATAACATTGCAGATTCTTCTTTTTTTCTTTTTTTTTTTTTGTATTTCATCAAAAATTTCCGAATGCATAGAAACAGACGAAATGTGAAAACAATATTCTATGTATGTACGAATGGTAGACTTATAAATATATAAGATATATTCTGACGAGAAAGATTGTCTCACACGAAACAGTGAGGTATTGTCTCACACGAAACAGTGAGGTAACTTTCCTAGCAGCAGATCTAGCAGACGATACAAGATAATCTTTCCACATTTATCAGCAGGAAACATTAGCGGAATCGGTTTTGTCGATTTCAAATTCCACCGGAGATCGCTTCGGTAATTTTTGCACAAATACGCTTGGGAAAGATATGAAGCCATTTTGTTAACTGGGACTTAATATTTGAAGATGTTCGCATAAATGTACCAAGTAGTAAAAGACCACACGTATTGTATACTTGTAAAAGCCAGGATCATTTCACAGAACTGTTTACTTTATTATCTATTACTATAGAGCAAGGCTCACGGCATATATGTACTAAAGTACTTTCTAAGGTATTAACTAAGTTTAACTTAGACTGACACGAATCCCGGAAAAATACATACTGCAGAAACTCCAGAAGCAACAGCCAGCAAAGTAAGGCTGTGACCCTTACACTTAGGGTAGCCAGTGCTTTTAGATTTTAGTGGGGATGCGCGCTTGAAATTTGGGCGCACATAATTTGAATTTGTCTTTGTAAGAATTTGTACACTAAAATTAGTTTATATCATATTCATAGGTGAGGAGACAAATAATTTTCTAGCACTCCCCCTTGGCGACGGGCTGGTCCCACAGGAGATGGAAGAGGAATGAGGGGAGATGCTAAGACAAATTTTGATACAAATCTCTAATTGACACAAATCATTTTGTTTAGCTAAGGCTGACAAGACTAAAACTCTGGGGTACTAATTTATGTACTAACTTATGTACGGCTTACTAAATTATTCATGAACCTCATGGCGAGTCGTCCATCATGCATCGATCGATTTGCACAGAGCCATGAGTGTAGGGCAAGCAGTACGGATCGAACTTCTTGCAGTCACTGAAAGTTTGAACACGAAGAGATAGGCAGTTTCTTTTAGCTGTATGAAGTTCGTTAACCAACTCTCCCATCTGAAAATGACATCTGTCTCTGCTTCAAAAACTTTGCTTCCACTCGAACTAGAAATAGAAAACATTATCAGGCGTCTTTCTAAATTTATTTTGACATCACGATAAGAGAACTGAGTTACGTGTTTTGCACCTGGAATTATCAGTAACATGACGGGCCAATGGGATTAATCTTTACTCACCCAACTCGTGAAAAATCAGAACAGAGGAAGTTAAATATCTCGAACAGAACGGGAGCTATTTACAACCAATTGTGCAAATTTAGACCAATTAACTCCTATTTAAAGTGACGCATACAATTAATAAGTTTAAACAAATCAATTAATCTCTCGTTGATTTTACAGATAATAGTTTGGCACAATATCAATATGAAGAAGAGCGCGGGGGGAAAGAACATCGAACTGTCTTTGAAAAATACATTTGACTCAAGAATAAGTTCAAATATAAGACAAATTCAGTTAGCTAGATAGCTAGGGAAAAATAGATAGAAATTCATAGATAGATAGATAGATAGATAGATAGATAGATGTTCAGCTAGCTTGCTAGAAATTCAGCTAGCTAGCTAGCTATCTAATCCAAAACAAAACAAAGACTACAATGATTACTAGATTATTGATTTGCTTATACTTTACAATGATTTTCATGTAAACTGTATCACTTAAAAAAAGACTATAGCCCAAAACAACCATATAAGCTTAGACCGCGCGCTCTAAGTCTGAAATAAAATCGACTAAGTGCATCATTCCGAGACATTTTTACAACCGCACATACCTAATTGGCTTTCATCAGTTCAGTCAACCATTTCCACTAAAGTCGTCCACAGAGTACTAGATGAAATGGATTTTTAATAAAAATCTCAGAATATAAAATACATTACGGCCTCGGTGGATTTTACTTGCTCTCTTAAAAGGAGAAAGCAAAATAATACAATTGTAAAATTATTATCTATATATTAATACACTTATTCCAACCTATTTACTTACTACGTTAATACACCGTGAAGTTAAATGCTCCCAGCTCTCATCTAAAATATCAACTCTACTTTGATTACATTACTTTATATAGATTTTGCACTTTTTAGAGATTTTTTTGCAGCAGAATTGTCTCCGGGTAAAATATTAAGAATATATAGTATTTATTAAGCAACTTCACATCGCATTAACTATTCTTTTCAGAATTAACTTGTTATTCATGCTATTCATAGAACAGGTAATGTTTATCAGGAAAGACAACTCTTACATTCATTAAATAAGGCCCGTAACAAAAATGTTAACATGGTTAGAATATTATTGCTACAATCAGTATTTAACTATATATATATATATATATATATATATATATATATATATATATATATATATATATATATGTTCTTGCTGGCATTGGGTTTGGTTAAATGTCTAAATGTATGTGATCGCGTCTTTCTGGGGAGGATAGGTATTAAAAAATCATTAAAAGATTCATATGCAGAGAGAAAGTATTCACTAAAATATTACTCTATCGCCTACGAGCAAGAGGCGCCTAATGTTGCCACATCTGCACAAGAATGTGTAAGTCCCTAGCAGCACTTAAATGCCATATCCGCAATATATATTTGATTGTTTCGTTTTCCACATCTTTCAAATTATTTAAAGCCAGAAAATATATTTCGTAGATTCTAATATTTTAGGTGGGGTCAGATAATAGTGGTTTAATGTTACCTCCCTTGGACAATGCAGGCTACTCGCTAATCAGTGTTAAATTTTATTCCGAACCAAATGTCTTCCCTGATGTAATGTTTCATAGGACAATTTTCCAGTAGGCTAAAGTTGACTGGGATAGCTTCAGATATTACGTCGCAAAAGCTCCTCTCAGAATTCTTCAAAAATAGAGTCTCCAGAATTCCACCTTTATCTCTGAGTGAATCCTTTCTTCTATAAAGTTTTGATTTAATTTCATTAATTTGTTTTTTACGGCTTATCAACCCTTTTCGGGTCATTTAAAACCAAACAGTATTATATATTGCAAGAATATGAGAGAATGATTTAGTGATACTAGTCTTACTAATTAACCGATAGCTGGAGAAGAGGAGATGGATTCCTACCTTTCCCAAGGGTATTTTCCGCGTTATATTGGCTTACACGGAAAATGCTTTTCATAAGGTTTAATAAAATTATCTTAAAATCAAAGATTACGTTGTTTTGTTTTTTCTTCAAGTTGCTTAAATCTCTATAATGCTATTTTAAAACATATCGGCATTAGCCTCTTTAGCGCAGGTGATCATGTTTCCTTTTCTTTATCATTTTGGAATTGCTTTATTGAGAAATATAGTGGAGTTGTTATCCTTCTCTCAAAATGGCTGCAGCGCAAGTCTCGGGAGCCAAGGCCACCATGCTTTTTAATCGAAAGAAGAAGGAAAGAGAGACGGGTTTATTTTTTCCTCTAGGTATTTGTGCCAAAGCGAAAGCGAAAGTGAAAATGAAAGCGAATGCAACTAACTAAGGCAGATGTCATGAATTCAGAATTAACATTGCTCTATGTTCTGATAGCTTTATTTACATGGAAAAAGCGACTTGAAAATAAAAATAAATGAAACCGAAAGTAAATATGTACCAATGCGTATTTGCTTTAACTATGGTTATTTAAATTAATAACTAACGTAAGCTGTGGGGGCACGGTGGAGTAATCGACAGCGGCTCGGATTAAGGAATCAAAAAGTCGAGTTCGATTTCTACTCAGGCTCGTAGCGTATACTTACGTGATAAAACCCTTGGGAATGGTGTAAATCCATCGCTTCTGCCCTACACACCCCAGCGAGTAAATAGCAGGACAGACTGCACCCTATAGACGAAAATTAGCCGTATCATTTTTATTTACCTATACATAAAGAGTTATAGATGTATTAATTTTATTTTGACGTGGGAAAGTATTAGCACTTTCCAACTGACAGTTGTCCTGCACAACAGCTGTCAGTTCTGTCTAGAAAAGAACTTATTTTTATTAAGATAGAGATTCAGGATTTACCCTAATGTCTGCGGTTAATACTTAGATATCATCTGTATTTTTAGGATGTTACAAATCTCCACCTTTTCACGTGATACCAAATTCTCACGTCTGCTAAGCAACTTCATGAATGGACATTTTGGAAGTTGTAATAATAAAGTAAGTTTTCAATTTGCAAGGCGGTCAAAGTTTTCAGCTCTAATATATAGACATACCGTGCAGCTATCACGGCAACATCAATGGGAAGGTTTACAATGGTTTACTTAGACCAAAACGTAGACTTTTACTTATGTTCGTGACTAAGGATCTCAGCCAAAACTCCAGGGAAAACACTTATTGTTGAGAATGTTATTTTCAATTTAAAGTGTATTCGATCGGACTGGAGAATTTATTCATTAATGCAAGGCTCTTAACACTTTACTGGCGTATTGTCCCATGAGAACCCTAAGTCATCCTAAATCACCATTGTTAAGACATTTTCAGAGCACCAAAGACACGTGGGTGTCTGTTTGTGTGTGTATATATGTGTGTGTGTATGTGTGTGTGTGTGTGTGCGTGTGGACTCGCGATCGCGTACTTGCGTGTATGTACACGTGTGCGTGATTGAGTGTTGATAAGTTCTTTGACCCACTTTTCAAAATCAGGAAATGAAATGCGCACTTTTTGGGAACACCGGTAAAGATCTCTCTCTCTTTTTGTCTTCAAAAAGGCAAGCAAACTTGCTTAAAAGAACTGTATGCTATCGTGACAAACCTACTGCAATATCATCGAATATGAAGCAACGGTTTGGAGGTTAATTTTACAGAACATTGCTACTGAAGGGAGGGTTAGCGTTCTAACCTGCCCACTTGTGATATGTTCTAGACATTTTTAATGCCATTAAAAAATAACAACTACACACACACACACACACACACACACAAACACGCACACGCACACATACTTATATATATATATGACAAAGTGGTAAAATGTTTTCACGTGGCGCGTTTCGTCCCTTATGACTTCAATGAACTAAAGGAACAATTTATGTCCGATGTAGTCCTAAAAGACAATACCCGTCACACGAAAAGTTTTTTCTATTTTGTCATATATATATATATATATATATATATATATATATATATATATATATATATAAGCATTGGCATGACTCTAGTCTTCCTTACTATTTTCTATTTTTCTTTTTCTCCTTAGTACTATATATATATATATATATATATATATATATATATTTAAAATAGGTTTGAAACGGTACAAAAGCGTATTAAGGCATTAAAAACTAGAAATGTTGTATTGTAGGCCATGATAAGTTTAAAATAAAACACACACCAGTCGACCGGTTTCGTCCCTCTCGTCAGAACTGTTTTTTTTTTTCCTTCCTTCCCTGTCAATTCATTCATGTCACCCATGACAGACTTTTTTTTTTTTCCTCATAATCTAAATTCCCCCGTTAACAGTTCTGACGAGGGGGACGAAACCGGTCGACTGGTGTGTGTTTATTTTAAACTTATCATGGCCTACAATACAACATTTCTAGTTTTTAATGCCTTAATATATATATATATATATATATATATATATGTATATATATCTGTGTGTGTCTGTGTGTGTGTGTGCGTGCGTGCGCGCGCGCGCGCGGCTCGGATTAAGGAATCAGAGAGCCGAGTTCGAATTCCAGTCTATGTCGTTACATTCGCTTACGCGCAAATACCCTTGGGGAATGTATAAATCCATCTCGTCTCCCCATGGCAGCTATAAGTAAATACCAGAACAGACGGGTCCTATAATTTTGGGTGGCAACCAGTCTAGGAGAAGACAACTCTCAAGGATGGTCGTTTCAGGAACTTGTGACACCCTGTGCGCCATTCCTTTATATTCAAAAAAAGTGCCGTTGGTTCTACACAAACCTTCACTACTATAATTAAATCATATTTGTAGGTACTCTGCTTGTTCGGTTCTAAGAACTGAGCCGCTTGGCCCTCCATATATAATTTCTTCGTGACAAAATTGATGATAAGTTTATATTTACACTGAAATATTTCTTCTTTACATTAATTACACGGAATATGAAAAATATTTCTAACGTTTTCTTCTTTTCCTTCAGTAATTTATTTTAGACTATGGAATTTCGAAAATCCCTAATGCTATAACCGTACGCGGCATTGTAGAGCTTTCTCGTCTCTGTAAATTCTGTTTGCGCTAATCAATTAGTCATCTACTCATGGCTGCAAAATACTAGATGCGGTTTTCTTGTGGATAACTCAATGCTTTTAAACCAAAAAAATATGCCTGTACAGTAAAAATATTTTTAAAAGTTAAATTATCGGAATAGATACTTTTTGTTAAAAAAATTTCAGTATCATCGATCTCAGTAATATACTAATGAATGTGAAATCATCTTTCAAATGATAGGTTGCGTTTAGCTAAAAAATGACACGATATCAATGAGAAAATATTGATTTCAATTTTAATTTTTTTTCTTTTACGACTTTGCATCCACAGGAACAATGTTCTTTTACAACTGGTTTTTCATTCATATTGAAGCTATCAGTTCTAATTTTAATACGCCGAGGTGCTGAAAATTTATTGGAACAAAAGTTTTTTTTCTCGTCTGAATCCATCCTTCAAATCTATAAATCAACCATCCAGCCTTGCATTGAATATGGCTGCCATATTTGGTCTAGTGCCCCCGCTGTACGACTCGAGGTCCTCGACAAAATCCTTAGACGAATATGCAATGGGATAGGTCTTGATCTGACATTTCGTCTACATTCGCTTTCTCACAGACATACCGTGGCTTCCCTCTGTCTCTTCTACAAGTATTTCCACGGCAACTGTTCCGCCATGCTACTTTCGCTGGTTCCTAGACTGCATGACTGCAAGTGAGCCGCCAGGCTGGCATCTCAGTCCCACCCTTTCTCTGTCGAAACTGTTAAATGTAAACCGTCTCTTCTACTTCTGTATGTGGGAGATTCATGGAAGATTGAAGCATAAAAGCAGTAATATATATATATATATATATATATATATATATATATATATATATATATATATATATATATATATATATATATAGATAGCACAAGAGTAATACTAGTTACCTGTAAACTCTGCACTCACAAGTACTACTCAAAATAGTGGCTTCCAGACATTTATTAGTACGGCGAACTAATGCGTGGTCAAATTTAGCCAAATTGTCCAGTGGAATTGCTGCACAGGCACTTTCAATTTTCATTTAAGAGCCACCAATATAATGTCATCTGTCGGGAAAATATCATACTACAATAAACAGTGTTATCACAGTTTGATAAATCTATGAAAGATAAGTTTTTCTTTTCCTGAAGTGTGTATACATTTTTAGCGGTCTCTGTATATATATATATATATATATATATATATATATATATATATATATATATAAAGAAAGAACAGTAAGATATATAATCCGGTGTTCTTATAGATATTTTTATTTTTACAAAATAGCGCTCAATGTAAATTTACAGAGCATTAATATTATAAATTAATTGATTTAAAATATGTTTTTTTCCGCTACACAGTTCTATCCATGTTTCAAAAATGGAAGCTAAAACATTGAAACATGGTTAGAACTGTGTAGCGGAAAAACATATTTTAAATCAATTAATCTATAATATATATATATATAGTCGACTCTCCCGTCGAGATTCGACGTATGAGGGTCAAGCAAATCAGTTTCCAGGAAACCGACAGCCCGACAACGAAACATGAGATTTGATTATAGTGGTGAAGGTTTCGTGCAGGACCATCTACACTTTTTGAAGGGACGAATACAGAGACCTGATGCACTAAGTGCCACAAGGTTCCCAAACGACCCTCCGCAGGTTTTGAATTAAGAGTTGTCCCTCTCGTAGACCAGTTGCCATCCAAGGCTATAGAACCCAGTCTGTCCTGCTACGTTACCCATAGCTGATGGGAGAAGAAGAGGATTCATACCTTTCCCAAGGGTATTAGCACGTAATTGAATGTAATGGACGCTCTGTAAATTTACATTGAGCACTGTTTTGTAAAAATAAAAATATCAATAAGAACACCGGATTATATATCTTACTGTTCTTTCTTTTTATTTATACACACACACACACACACACACACACATATATATATATATATATATATATATATATATATATATATATATATATATATATATATCGATATTATAGCATAACTAACTTGGCGTCACATGTAAGACGATAATGAAATAGCCAACGTCTACGAATAGCATAAAATATCAACAGTAACCGCCTTTAAAGACACACATAGGGTAATAATACCTACGCCACTGAGCTTGAAGTCTATCAGACATGAATCAACGTAATCAACAAACAAAGGTAAATTATATAAGAATAGATTGATAAAGAAATCCGACCTCGTGGGAAAGTAAGCTTGATTCATATGCTTGTGCACTATGCAATATGCATCAATGCCGGCAGGTGTATGGGGTTTTGAAAGAATGCCTCCTTGTCACCCGACAGGCAACAAAGAGGCGTTTGCTTACAAGAAGAAGAAAAAAAATACCAAAACATCAAAAACCGATTAGTTCTCTTATTCTTGCTATTTGTATCTGGTGGATGATGAGAGTTGAGAGTCTACATTTGAAAATTACACATTTACCCGGCTTCGAAACCAACAAATAAAAAAACAGTTTCTATCTACACAATAAAAACATATTGCTATATAGATAACTAAGGTTAGGGTCTCTGAAATTTCCTTTGTCAAGTCGGTAGATTTTAAGTGAATTTCGGAAATTAACAAAACTGCCAATTTTGCCAGTTAGAATCAGAAAAATGGAAATTAGTTCGATTTTTGATCGTCTGAAAATAACTAAATAGTTCTTGATATTTCTGTTCTTTGTCAAGAAATATAAAACTTCTACATTGGCTCTTTTACCAATTTGCGAAGAAGTTAACAATAATCATGGAAAAGTGTTTTTATTCTTAATAACATTCATATTTAGAGCAAATGTTCGTTCTCATGAGGACAAACTATTTTGATTCGTTAATTCCAGCTGTTCTTACTTTCCTTTATGTTCATATTATCTGTACAGATTGAGAAGAGAAATACATGATAATCGGGACGTTTCTGGAACAAACCCAACTTATATATACAAACCAAGCTTGTTTTGTTGTTCATCTTTTGTATGTAGTAATAATAAATATACTCAACTATAATTTCTAACAGCAATAAGTAAGATGCACTTGCTTTAGTTTTATAATTATATAAACTTCTTCTTAACAGATATAAATAATAGATGTTATATATTTTTATATTCATTTTACGAAAATATGATCCCAGATATTCGCAGCTGAAGAAAATTTGTCTTGAAGGCTGCTGTAAATTTTTAAACGAAAACACGAATATTTTTTAGATTTATATTTTTTATATTGACATGACGGAAGAGTTACAGAGTACCAACATGGCGGAAGAATTAAGGAGAATCAACATGTCGGAAGGTTTAGGCGTATCAAGATAAAGGAACTAGTGCTATAATATTCAATAAATTTATCTGATTTTCCAAGCAGCTGACAGTAGTGACCGTTTCGATGCGATATTCTTCAATGGGTTATCCGATGAGTCCCTTGAACTTTATTAAATATAAGATACCATATAATAATTAAGATATATCCATCGCTATACCTCAAGTTGATTCACATTATGTCAAGTTGCCTATCAGAATTTTCGACTGAAACGAAATCATTTTCCGGAATAGTTCAAGCGTTTAAATGAGTAATTATTTTAATTTATATAACCTTCTGGTCCACTGGGAGTGGGCAGAGAGAAATAAAAGCTAGATTAAATCACCATGTCTACTGATATTCTTACTTTTCCATTCTTAGAATGAAATAGCGGGGGGTGGGTAACTTATCCGAGACATGGAATATTTACTCCGATTAAATGTTGGAAATGTTGAAAAACTGTGCTTAAATGTATTCAGCAAAACTATATATAAACGTCTGATTTTAATTGGGTAGATAGATAAGGACAGATCCAGATAGCAAATCTACATGTAAATGCCTGATTTCAAAAAGAGAGACAGCAAATCTATAACTAAACACCTAGTTTCAACTAGACAAGCGGACAGATAGATAGATAGATAGATAGATAGATAGATAGATAGATAGATAGATATGGACAGATTCCGATAGCAAATCTATGTGTAAACATGTGGTTTCAACTGCACAGATAGATAGATAGATAGATAGATAGATAGATAGATAGATAGATAGATAGATAGATAGATAGATAGATAGAAAGAAATAACTGCGATAGATACATATATTTAAAGAGTGTCATATATATATATATATATATATATATATATATATAGATAGATAGATAGATAGATAGATAGATAGATAGAATAAGGTGACTGATGTACGTTTGTTTAAAAAGCTAGTCACACTTTTGCCAATACAATGACTTCAATTTAAGTTGGTACTCACTTGTAACCTTTTGCCATATTAATTTATCTTAGGGTAAGCTAATGTAAATTCGTTGAAATTAAACTATATTTTTTAAAGTCAAAAGTAAAGTCTTTTTTTTTAAATCCTATATCTATTTCTGAATCTCCCACGGTAGAAATTTACTTTTTGTGGATGCAATCGAATAAAAAATAAAGGAGACTGTCAAACGTATATCGATGCGTAGCACTTTTTATTCACTTAATTTTCTAAAAAGCGTTCATCGCCAAAAACGTTCTTGGAAAAGTGTTGCGCCATCCAGTTCACCTCATCTCTGTTTTTTCTCCCTCCCTCTTCAATAATATATGTCCGTATATATGCCTGTCTGCGCTTCTCCGTGTCTGCATGCGAGCGCGCGTACACAAAAGCAAGGCATTTACATTGAAATGCGGATCTATTTCTGACGAAATGAAATCGCATGATGTGACTTTGTAGTTCTTTTATCCTTCCAACCGATCGGTTGATTGATAACCTGAGTATACTCTCAAGTTATTAAGCTAAGCGTAGCCAAACGATTAATGTTGAAGAAAGTGCTCCCTTTACAGAGCCAACATTCTTTTTTTTCGAAACCAGAAAAAAAAATGAAAAAACCGAAGGGACGAGAAACATTGAAGCATTTATATGTTTTCACTCAATAATATTCGAATCAAACATCAGAAATTGCAAGTTAATGTACAAAATTGGAAGAAATTATGGTAATATATAAAACCGTCTCTCGTCCATTCGTATAAATAAACCACACAAATATTCATATATATATATATATATATATATATATATATATATATATATATATATATATATATATATACTAGCAGTAGAGCCTGTCGTTGCCCGGGGATGTAACAGTAAGATATAGATCAAGTATCGACCATCATAAAGACTGAAAAGTAAAATTGACAAAGATTATTGTTTAAGGTTGTCGGACACGCATGTCTTAATTAGTTTTTTTTTATTTTTTTTGTTTTTTTTTACGAATTGGTCAAACCCAAACTCAAACAAAAACATTGTTTTCAATCGTTATGAGTCTATCGATTGAATAGAACTTTATTATAAACAATTGTCTTATAAATGGAATTTTTAAAGCATTCTGAATGTAAAATAAAGAAAAAAAAGTGTGCAAGACAATAAGAAACACTACCTGCCAAAAAAAAAGTGAAGTTTTGTTTGAAATCGGTTGAAAATGAAGGAAATCCGATCCCATATATAAACGAACACACACACACACACACACACACATACACACACACACAACCTGGGTTTTATAATAATAAGTATAACTCGATATGAGTTGTCCCCCCTTTCATTCTGGCGACAGAATCGTGTTTTCAAATCGATTTCGTGCAAAAACAATTGTGTTTTTCCAATTTTTGGCGCTGTCAGAACCACCGCAAGGTAATTTTACGTAGTCCTGTGAAGTATTGTTGAAATCAGTTGAAAAATGTAGGAAATCCGATCCAATATATAAACGTACAGACACACACAATCTGCGTTTTATAATAAGTAAGATATACTTCATTTGTTTAAGCGTATTTTTTAATGGATACTCATATTTGAGTCGATGCTCTGTTTTTATTTATTTATCAATATATTGTGACATATTTCCGCGGGGGGGGCGTATATTTTTCTTACAAGATTTCTCGAAATATTCAGGCTGGTAGATGGAAATAAACTGTTTAATGAATAAATAAAAACATCTACTCAGATATGAGTATCCATTAATAAATAACGTTTAAACAAATAAATTGGAAATATGTTGGATTAATAAATGAAAAGTCCATTCCTAAATATATATGTATATATGTAATCAGTAAGCAAATAGATATAAACACTGTATGGTGACAGTCATGCTTAACGATTGCGTTTAAAACACGAAACACTCTATACGCTCTTTCCCTGATACTGAGTAAAAAAATAGCATAAATAAGGTGATACACATTACCATAAATATTTTTTAATCATTTCACCCCATGAAAGGCGATAATGCCACAAAAATGCAAAGAGTTACTGAGAATGGAGGAGAATGAGATGTCTGTACTGAAGCGAAAGGATAATGAAAGAACAGATTTCGGGAAGACTGAATATGGCGATTGGATTTAATTTATTTGAGGACAGTAAGTAGACAGGCAAACACGAAATCAAAAGAGAATTCTGCAGGCGAGAAACGCAAGAGAAGAAACTATTAGAATAGAACTTACGGTTATGAACAAAATGTGGATTGCTGTGTCGAGTTCAAATTAAATTCAAATCGAGACTGTTGCGTTCCCTTCTTTACACATACCATTGAAAATACCTCTCTCACCAACAGCTACATGCGTAAGAGTAGACTGACCTCTCTAGCCATGGTTGGCAACCAATCTTGGAGAAAGACAATTCTGCATTCAAAAACGGTTGGACATGAACTACAACCCTTAAAAATATACTTTCCACAGAAACCAGAGTGAGCTCCTAAAAAGGTAGCTGTATCCCTACACACCTGAGTGGATATTACAGGACTTAAACATTCGTGCACACACAGAGACAGACACACACATACATTATATATATATATATATATATATATATATATATATATATATATATATATATATATATATAATTATTATTTATAAAAAAAATTTATAACATAAATATGTTATGAAATCACTACAAGAATAGCCATTTTGTTTTAACACCCTCGGTGTCTTATCAAGTGATGATGTTGAAGATAAAATAAATGGTTTTAAAAGTTTCAAAATTCTTATTATTGTTATTGGATTTCATTCCGTATATACCAATTATATACTTGGATATATAATATATATATATATATATATATATATATGTGTGTGTGTGTGTGTGTGTGAGAGAGAGAGAGAGAGAGAGAGAATGTTGGGCATATGTTTGAGTGATTAGAACTAGAACGTTGGCTTTCCCACCATGAAATCGTCTTTCGAATTTCACCATGGCCGATTTGTGAGGAAGATGATTTTATGTGGAGGCGATCTCAGCGTACGGCACTTTTGGGAAGAGCCTGCGAACCATACACAGGTTGACCCAATCCTTGTGATTGAAATTTGATGGAAGGACCTATTTGGTAGCTACTGATGGTTGTGCTAGCACGATGCCACAAGTCATTGTGACCGAGTGTTTCAGCGTACTGACTTTGTTCAGACTGTTGATCTCGCCAAGTGATGTGCTCTCTCTCCCAGAAATTGTAATTAAGGCACACTAAGCATAGATGCAATATAAACACGCGTGCGCTTAAATTTTCCTGAGCAAGCGTCTTCAAAAAGCATTGGCTAACCCCGTCCTCGTAGACTGTTATAGTTGGTTTCGAGTGGCCAGCCATTATTATTATACTGGAAATGAAAGAAAGAACGTACACGGAATTGCATCCTGGAGTTAGTTTCAAAATTCTATAAATGGTCACATACTGGGAAAAAACGGAGTTTTTTGTTGTCTGTATATTTAAACACGTTGTAATATGACTTCTTTTTGTAGTAATGTCAGCACATGAGCAGTCGTTTAGCTTTAGAATCGGTTTTTCACACACTTCGTCTTGTTACACTTATCTTGGGCTTCATATCGATTATTCAATGTGTCACGTTTCTTATTTAACATCTAAAATTATTGACAAACTCTTTTTCTTTGCATAATAAAAATAGTTTGTTCTGCTCGTAGATTCGTATCAAATCCGCCATATAGCTGTTCCACAAAGTATTTGCACTCCAGTGCTATGCTTTAGGACACATTTCTAATTGTTTAAGAATAGACTGTCAGTCAAATATTTCGTAAACGATATTTTCATTCTACTTGTCGAGACAAAAAAGATTTGCTAAGTTTAATGGATTTTTAAACGCTAGCCACTGTAAGTCTTTCAGATCCGTTTCTCCAATATTAAAAATTTAACAAAAGGCGAATGGCTAAAAAGAAAGAATAATTAAATGAAAAGTGCCTTTAGTAGCAATAAGATAATCTCGCCTCACATAACTGAGAAAATCTCTTGCCAGCCTATAAAAATAAAATCTCAGTTTTTATTTCTCAAAATTTTATTACCGCATACCTTTTTTTTTTACTAATGTTCACCTAATACAAGGCCCAAGAGCCACTCATGGTAGAGGGTTACTGCGTTGAATTGTATTAGGATATGAAAGAGCAATACATGAAGTTCTTGGGGATATGCAGGAAAGATAGCAGCTAACCCTAGATTTGAAGAGATCAAGATTTAATTAATGAATAAAATTTCAGAGTTCAGACGTTAGAAATATAAAGACAAATAGACTTTAGTAGAAACCGGAAACCCAATACTAAACAGGAAACAAGGATAAACCTCTTGTCCTGTCCAAAAGACTGGGGAGGAGTGTGAACAGGACGATAGGCAAACCTATCCACTCGTATTCGGTGAAGAAAAATAATAATAATTACTGAATAAAATTTCAGATTTCCAGTGGAGACGTCATAAGTTGAATGAACCGGAAAACTAATCCTAAACAGGAAACAAAGGATAAACCTCAACTCCTCTTCAAAAAAAAATGGGGAGGAGTATGAAACGGACGATAAGCGAATCTATCTAGTCCTTTGAATATCGAATCAAAGAATGTATAAAGAATTGAAAGTGAGTAGTTCCAAATACTTAACGCCACTACTTTTCCGCCCGTAAAATCTGTTCTCTCTACATTTATCGATTGCAATCACATTATTATTTTTTTTAATCCATTCTTAACATCTCATTCTTTCGCAGCGTTCATGGTACAACATAAATTCAGAATAGTTTGCCTTTGAATGTGTTAACACTGTTAAAGTTTCCTAGATACTTAA